GCACTCCAGCCTGGGTAACAAGAGCGAAACTCCTCTCCAAAAAAAAAAAAAAAGAAGCACCTCACCACATGCAGCCAGCCCCCTTCAACCTTGAGCTTCACAGTGTCTGTAAGAAATTTTGGCTGGGCATGGTGGCTCACACCTGTAATCCCAGCACTATGGGAGGCCAAGGTAGGTGAATTACGAGGTCAGGAGATTGAGACTATCCTGGCTAACATGGTGAAACCCTATCTCTACTAAAAATACAAAAAAATTAGCTGAGCGTGGTGGCATCTGCCTGTAGTCCCAGCTACTTAGGAAGCTGAGGCAGAAGAATCGCTTCAAGCCGGGAAGCAGAGGTTGCAGTCAGCAGCAATAGACAATCGCACCAGTGCACACTATCCTGGGTGACAGAGTAGGACTCTGTCTCAAAAAAAACCAAAACTGTCACTTATAAACTACCTAGGTCCCGGTATTGTTATAAAGCACAAAAAATGGACTAAGGCACCCCGATTCTCTGTAAAACGGATGTTTCTACCTCATGATTAACATTCTTCAATTACTATGTTGTTTTTAAGAAGAAAACACATGGAATGTGAAGGCCTGCAGGTATTTAGCAGCTCTCAACTTCTCATCCAAACAACATACCTAACAGAGATGAATTCTCCAGAAAAGGTTAATTCGTGTTTTTGACTAAAGCATGTTTTAGGGAATTTTACTACATTAAGCAAAAACAATTATTTTAAATCAGAGGTTGTTACTGCCAAGGCTCTTAGGGCTTCTGGGCATAGAACAATCTTTTGGAAAGATGGGATGATAAGGGTACTAGTAAATTTTTTTTACTTAATGCTTGTTCAATGATCTAAAGCTTGACACAACAGTTAAAAGAAGCTGAAGAAGCTTAAGAACAGATCAAAGAATACAGCATATACAAGGATCATATAAAGAGATAAACTTCTCAACCTTAGTAGCTTATGGGGGAACCAGGATGTTAACCATTGTCAAAAAAAGTTATGAAACAGCTGTCACAGGGCACTGATCTGAAAAGCAAGTCCCCTGGAATAAGGTTACTAAGGAATACGAAAAAGAAGCCCATGGTCTGGTTAAGTTTGGAAGGATGGGTTAAACAAAATTAAGTTTCTTTACTGCAAATCACTCAGAATTTGCAGTAATTTGCTAATAAAAGATACCCACTCTCTATCAGACCAAATAAAGTATTATACATTTTTAAAGTATATTTCAATTGCAGGTGAGGGTACTGACTTATTGTGAAGATTCCTGGAAGTAGGTGTGGCTATATGACCTTGCCCCTAATCAGAACACTTTAGTTACAGAACTCAATTTCCTTTTGCTATCATTCTATTTAAAGACAATAGAAAGCATCACAGCATTCTATCAACTGCTCAACCCTCAAGTTTTTCTGGCCTAAGTGTTAAGAGTTGTGATATTTTAAATAACTTGTACAATACTTTTTATGTATTTTTATTTTGAGATGGGAGTCTCACTCTGCCACCCAGGCTGGAGTGCAATGGAGTGATCTCAGCTCACTGCAATCTCTGCCTCCTGGGTTCAAGAGATTCTCTTGCCTAAGCCTTCCAAGTAGCTGGGACTATAGGCGCACACCATCACACCTGGCTAATTTTTGTATTTTTAGTAGAGATTGGGTTTCACTATGTTGGCCAGGCTGGTTTCAAACTCCTGACCTCATAATCCACCCGCCCTGGCCTCTCAAAGTGCTGGGATTACAGGCATGAGCCACCATGCCCAGCCAACTTACATACTTTTATCCAAGCAAAACTGTCTCTGCCTTTCATTAATTATAAAATAAATATAGCTCCCTATTTGTTTTGCTGTTAATAATTTTTTCTGAGAAAGTGTTACAGTACCTGGGTGCCGCTTTGATGATGTTGTCCACACGCAGAATCACCTCTGCTGCTTCAGCTGCACTTAGAAGAACTTGACGCTTTACTTGAAAACTTTCTGTTATACCCAGGAGAGCCATATCTCCAATGGTGCCTTCCCTCATATCTGCAAAGAAAAAAATGTTTACTAAAAAGTACTTTTACGGCTAGGCGCAATGGCTCACACTTCCCAGCACTTTGGGAGGCTGAGGCGGGTGGGTCATATGAGGTCATGAGTTCAAGACCAACATGACCAACATGGTGAAACCTCATCTCTACTAAAAAAAAAAACAGCCAGGTGTGGTGGCGGGTGCCTGTAATCCCAGCTACTCTGGAGGCTTAGCAAGGAGAATCGCTTGAACCTAGGAAGCAGAGGTTGCAGTGAGCCAAGATCGCACCATTGTACTCCAGCCTGGGCAACAAGAGCAAAACTCCGTCTCAAACAAAAAAAATGTAGTTTTAACAACTAAAGTATCGAAACATCTCTAACGATTTATAATAAAAATTAATCCTGTTATTTATAAAATTAGGATACCCAATTTCTTACTCAGCAGGTAGATTAGCCTACAAATGAGCTCAGAGTCTTTAAAAAAAGTTAAAAGGGGCCGGGCACAGCGGCTCAGGCCTGTAATCCCATCACTTTGGTAGGCTGAAGCAGGGGGATCACCTGAGGTCAGGAGTTCAAGACCAGCCTAGCAAATGTGGTGAAAACCTAGCTCTACTAAAAATACAAAAAAATTAGCCAGGTATGGTGATGGGCGTCTGTAATCCCAGCTACTTGAGAGGCTGAAGCAGAAGAATCATTTGAACACAGGAGGCAGAGGAGGCAGTGAGCCGAGATTACGCCACTGCACTCCAGCCTGTGCAACAAGAGCAAAACTCCATCTCAAAAAAACAAACAGAATTAAAAGGGGCCAGGCTGAGTGGCTCACACCTACAATCCTAGCATTTTTGGAGGCTCAGGCAGGAGGACTGCTTGAGGCTAGCCTGAACAACACAGTGAGACCCCCCCACATCTCTAAGAAAATAAAAATAATTTAGCCAGGCATTGTGGCACGTGCCTTTAGCCCTAACTAGTTGGGAGGCTGAGGAAGGAGAACTGCTTGAGACAAGAGTTCAAGGTTCTAGTGAAATATAATTGTGCCACTGCACTCCAGCCTGGGGAAAAGAGCAACACCACTGTCTCAGTAATAATAATAATAACAATAATAATGTCAACTATTGATCATCCATGTTAATAGAAAACAATGTCAATTAACAAAAAACAAATGGGAGAGAATTCAGAAGTCATCTACCCAACTTCTCTTCTTATGAGAATCTGCTTCAACTTCTCACAGATTAAGCGGGGCTCCCTCTTGTTCAAATTGACAGGATTATCTACCTTCTTAAGACTACCCTATAATGTCCTGCACAGCTTGTCAGAAAATTTTTCAATATGAATTAAAGCTGCCTCATTGGCCACTTTTTTATCTGTGGACTGGAAAACTGTGATCTGTGCTCAAGAAGATTATCTCACAGTAAGTTTACTGTGAAATTAGGAGTTAACACTGATTGTATAAGCAACATAGTAGTTTATGTTATTTTTCAAAATGTAAGTACTACTTATATTTAAATCCTATAGTTGTTATACACCAAATAGTTACAAATTTTCTAACCAGTTTTATATCTCTTATGGAATAACAAAGTTTGGGAAGTATCAAGGATACAAAGTCACAAATTTCCCCAGCACATGTAAGGTTACAAGGACAAAGGCCAGGAAGAGTCTTTTACACGGTTATCATGATAACCCTTTATGTTCCAAAAGAAAAAAAAAAAAAAAGCTTGGTGAGAAGAGTCATTTTTAGCAACAGCCACCAAGTTCCCCTTGATTGCTTACCCAGTCCAGCAGTGGTATTGCCTTCACTGTGAGCAGCTCTGAGCTGTGCCACTAGGTCTGCACTGTCATAGCCTGCGTTGTCAGCTATGATGGTTGGCAACTATGAAATGAAGAAAACAAGTAACTACTCACCCTGCTATAAGAACCACTGATTTACTCCTAACTAAAAGGATGGCTTTTTTAAATTACACATTTAGAAACAATGGAAAATCTGTTTCCTTCAAATTACTGCTCATGAAGAAGAGAAACTCCAGAATCAAATTTAAAAGCAGTATTAACCAGTTCATTTTCTACTCATTTAAAAACTATCAATAACCACAAAATTTAAGTTCAGATCTCTTATTTTTATTAACTTACCATTCTCAGTGCTTTAGCATAAGACTCCATTGCAACAGCTTCTTTGCCTGGTGTTCTATTGGCAAGCTGTGTCACAGCATGAGCCATCAACATCTCC